GGAGTGAGTTTCATGTGGATCTCTTTGAGTCTGCATTCCTGGCCGAACAAAAAAACATCCGCACGACATCCGCTTCGAAATCCAGGGCGCCACTCTCCGGGACAGTCTGGGCCCATCCCATGGTTTCCCGAGCGATCGGCGGTGGACAAACCTCCTTTTGGTAAACCTCCCCTTAGTGAAAACGGCCTGGGACCGAAACCGACGGACCTGGACCCGCAAAAATGCCGGCCGCGACGCCCCCCCCGCGAACCGAACACGGCCAAGTCACTCATCGACGCGGCAGGGTGGGAGGCCTGTCCGTCTCCGAGGCGACGTCCGCTCTGCGAGGCTGGCGCCGTGCCGCCGGCCCGTGCCGGGGAGGTGTCGGGAGCTCCGGGGGCCCCGCTCGAGGGGGCCCGCCCGGAGCAGACGCCGCGCCCCCCTCGATGCGTCGGCGACGGGCCAGGACCGACGCCGCGCTGCACGGGGGGGGGGCCCGCCGCGCCAGGGCCTGCCCTGGCAGCGCACGGCGGGCTGGCGTCCCAGGCCTCCCCATACAGAGCTTCGGGGTCTTCGTCATCCTTCCCACCTCCCCTGTCCTCTCCACATCTCTCCTGGGGGGATCGACGATTCACTGCGTCTGCGCGCTTCTTCCCCTTCCCCACTGAAGGGGACCTGGGACACACAAATAAATGCACACACATAAAATGATTCCCCACATTTTCCCTTATTTTCTTGGTTTTTGTCTCCCCCCCCCACTTCCCATATTTCCCCATCTTTCCCTGGGAATCGACGATGAATCGTGTCTGTGTTTGTGTGTTTTTTCCCCTCCTGACCCACGTCCTCCACGCTCCCCGCTCGTCCTTCCGCGGGATCCGGGCGTCGCGTTCTGCTGCGCGCTCGGGCGCTTCCGCCCCGGCCCGGGCCCCGCGGGGCCCTCGCGGGCCCCCAGGGGGACCCTCGCGGGCCGATCCGGCCCGAGGGCTCCAGGATCGGGCCGAGGGCTGCAGTCCCGAGCTTCTGTTTTGGGTGCGCGGGCTCGCGAAGCAAGCCGAAAGCCGTGCAGGACGGGCGGGCTGCGCGCCGCCGGGAGGAAAAAGCAGCGAGCAGGAGCGGCCCCACCAGAAGCCCCGCGGAGCTCGTCGCGGCCAAGATGGCGCGGAACCAGGACACGGTGACGA